AGGATTAATGCTGATGGGGGGAGGGTGGAGACAGCTTCTCGGAGGTAACATGTGACATGGACCTTAAAACGTATATAGGATTCTGACCCATGTAATGACAGAGAAGGGAGACCTAGGCAAGAAGAACAGCACGGATATAAACAGAGGCACAGAAGAGATCTGCATCAGACGGAGTCAGGTGCCAGCCCAAGGCCTCATTTGGATTCAGCAAAGAAATGGTCACTTGGGAGTCCCAGACACTTTGGCCTGTACCTTTCCCTTTTCTCCCCCACCCATTTCACTTCATTCAATTCTCTTTTTTCCTCCCTCATCAGCATCCCAATATCTACCTCAAATTTCTCTCTGTGACATCCTCTTCAAATGAGTTGTTACATTATAATCAGAAAGATACATTCAAAAGATTGAACATTTGAAATACAGCACAAGTTTTATAACCTCAATTGGGTATTTCTTCATTAAAAACAAAAGTGCTGGGATTGCTCCCCTTTATCTGAAGGGGAGACCAGGGGCCTTACTATTTGGCTTTTCCTTCCAGGATTCTGGTACTCGGATTATATGTTATAATAGTCAGGCCTGTGCCTAGGATGAAGGGGACACAACCCAGGCTTGAATGACCTAAGGGAACAAGAAACACATAGACCAATCCCAATTGTGAGTTTTAAGGGTCTGCAACTTACTGCAAGAAATGAGTCTGTAGGGATTAGCTATCCTTCTACAACTCCTGCTGAATACACAGAGCCTTGACAATTCAGTGAGCTGCACCCTCTGTTCCTCCCAACTTGGGAAACTCCAGAAATCGGACTCCCATTCACAGCTCTTACCTCACCCAGGCCATTGGGGAGCTGACCATGGGAGGGGCATGAAGAAGATTCCCACTTTATTCCCCCTGTCCTTGGTGGGGTGTCATGGCAAACAGTCTGCAGAGAAGTCACCTGGATCCCTCAGGACACACCTGGGGCTCACCTAGCACAGGAGACAGAGACCACAGATTAATGGAAACCTATTCTCACCCCCAGCTGTTAATGAAACTGACCTGCTGTCAGTCCATCCTACCTGGTATCTGTTCCAGGACCTAAAGGGACAAAAACACCAATGAAGAAAGCAAGATCAAGAACAAAGGGACCACAAATTCTAAGCCCCATAGTCCCTGAGAGGGACAGACTCTCCTAGTGTCAATGAATTTGAAGTCTAAGATAACCCAAAACCTTTTCTATCACCTTTAGATCCCCTTCTGAGTCCTATCATAACCCAAACCAAAAACACCACCTTACCTTTGCAGAGAACTTTAACTCTACAAAGAGCTTTCTCAAAAGGAGACTATGACATAGTAGAAAGAGCACTGGTTGAAGATTCAGGAAACCAATGTTCTAGTCAGTTTTGTTTCTATCAAGTATCTGGGAGACTGTCAAGTCAATTCCTTACCACTCCTTCCAACTCCCGCCCCAAGGCCTTAGTTTTTAGGGGAACCGTCTCTAAACTGTGGGGTTTCTAGATTAAATAACTTCTAGAGTTAAGTGTATAAAACAAACATCACGAAAATGGACATATTCCTCTTCCGGGACAAGCTCCTTTAATTTCACATTTGGAACCTTGATAGATTTTCTGATCCCTAAGCTCTTAAAGGACTAATTTTAAACATAAATGTTAACAATAAGCCAAAATTTCTGGGCATCTGAGCCCAAGGCAGACAAGTCGACAAGCCAGGACTCCAGAGATTCTTGAAAGCCCACCCTCCTGCTCTGGAAAAACAATACTTCCCAGGGTCCCCTGTACCCTGCATCCTTGGACAACTTTCAGGTAAAAGGACCCCCATTCCCTTCCTCTGGCTTACTCCGGAAGGTGGAAGCAGGCTGAAGGAGGTGTGCACAGACCAAAGACAGGTCGCAAAAATACTGAGCCTTGAGCCAGCAATGAGCGTGGAGGGATGGGAGAAGTAGGAGGGATGTGAAACCAAGAACTATGGGGTGCAAGATGGGGGAGGAGTTGCACTTTTCCTATCATCATCTCTTCAAGATATCAGGACATAACAGATAGCCCATTGATGGGGATTACATCAGGCAGGATAGGGGTAGGGGCTCTGGTCTAGGATAGGTGTGGATTGGGGGCAGGAGTTAGAAGGGGTTATGGGGACTGAAAATGCCTGAGAAGGCTTGGGGGGCACATGGGCAAGAATTTTGGATTTGGGCATTTTGGTTAGTGCAAGGAGAGAATCCGGAATATGAAGGAGCGGACGAATTTCAGGGCAGTGGAAGCATTTGGGGGCGTCCAGGAGAGAATGGTGCGTCTGTGGGCGAATCAGGGGATTTGCAGAATGAGTGAGGGGATTCTGAGGGCTCCAAGAGATGCGAAGGAGAGCCCAGGGTGGAGGTGGGAGAGGGTGGGGTTTGGGAGTCAGAGATAGATTTAGACTGCACGACTGTCAAGGGGTATTTCTAGACACCCGTAAGGAATCAGGAGGTCGGGGTGCGCGTCGTCCCTGGATTCCCGCCCCCAGCCCCGGGGCTCCACCGCCCACCCGCCCGGGGCTTCCTAGGGAGGGAGCGGAGATTGCGGCGCGGCGCGACGCGACGCGGCCTCGGTGGAGCCGCATCGTCCCCGCCCCGCCCCGACTCACATCGCCCCGCTGCCCGGGCGGCGCCGGGCCCCGCTCCCGGGTCCCGCTGCAGCAGCCGCCGCCCGCCCGGAGCTAAGGCCTCCCCGCCCCGCCCCACCGCCGCGGGGTCGGAGGTCACCGGCAACACCAATGAGGCGCTGCGGGCGGGAGGACCCGAGCGGGGCGACCGGTGCGCAAGCCTAGAAGGTCCCTTTGGAGGACTTTGCAGTCAGGAGCAGGGAGCATGCGCAGACGCCAGAGGGCGCTCCCGGCCAGCGGCTGAGCGAGCCTGGCGGGAATGGGGCGGGGCCTGGGACGGGGGCGGGACGCAGAGGCGGGGCTGAGGAGACCGGCGGTGGAGCGTACTCTGGGGAGCCGAAACGGGACAGAGGGTGGGGGGAGAAACACGAATGATAGGGGAGGACGCCTGAAGGGACAGAAGGGAGAAGCGCAAGATGAGGGACCCCGGAAAAGGGCTGAGGCGAGGAGAAGAGGCTGGGGGCCCACTGGGGACAAAGGGGAGGGACCTGGGGGAAACACAGGGAGAGGGGCGGGGCCAGGAGACCAGAGGGCGGGTCTAGGGGGCCCCGGGAACGCAGAGGGAAAGGTCTGGGGGCGCGGCAGTGCGTTTCTATTCTGCCAGTGGTGGAGAACCCGGCGTAAGGGCGGCTGCTTGTGTCTGCTGGATGCCTGCGGGGGCGCAGACACTTTCCACCCTGAGATCCCACAAATGCTTTCCTTCGGCCCGGGAGGACGGGCGGGGCTGCTGGGGGCGTGGAGAGGAAGGGCCGCCCTATCAGGGCGGGTAGAGGCTGGCGCTGAGGCCTCGGGTGGGGACTGAGTGAGGGGCCACGGCGGGGTCGGTCCAGAACAGCCCGGACTCCGGCGCGCAGCGAGGGTGAGACCCCAGAGGACTCCCCTCTCTTCCCTTCAACTCCCAGAAGCCAGACAGGGAACCCCAGCGGACTCGGGAACCACACCGTGTCCCTGCCCCGGAGGTGGGCCCCGCCAAATCCTAGAAAAACTTGGGGGATTTGTCGAGAGGGCACTTGGCAGGACCGGGCACTCCCTTTGCTTCTCCCTCCTACTGTCCCGGGAAAACTTCCCATTCTTCCACCTCCCTAGGTCCTAGGGTCTCTCGTGCTCTTCCCTTCAGGGCAGAGGTGGGTTGGGGAGGTTGAGCTCCTGAGCCCGGTTGCACCTGCGTGGTGGCGGGAGGGGGTAGGGGTTGGGGTGGGGTGGTGATTCAGCCCTGTCCCTTATCTAATGGGGGAAGGAGAGGGGAATTATGGAAGGAATCTGGCATGTTAGTAAGGTGGGTTCCAGTGCTAGGTGGAAATGGAGTTTGGCCACCCTTGGTGGGGGGATAGGAGGGTGGGGGGAAGGGGACTGATTGCTGAGCATTGTTTCTGCGTTCACGCAAACTAAAGCTAACCTGGAAGCGGGTGCAAGTCTCCTTCTGGGCCCCAGATTCCCCCTCGTTCCTTGCTGCCTGGAGCAGGGGCAGAGCTGTTAGGGAAGTGGCTACTCCTGGCCCTGAGTGTGAACAGCCCATCCTGGCCACCTTCCACAGGAAACCTGACCTGAGGGACAGAAGAGGAAGGAAGCAGGTGGGTGTGGAGCCAGGAAGGAGGAAAGGGTGGCACAGGACATTTGAAGGGGGTGGCGTGAGGAAGGGTTTAGGGCTGGGAAGCAATATAACTGTTATGGTCCAAACCCTGGCCCAAACCCCAAAGCTGGGTCTTAAAAAAGGCCAGGGATTTGATGATGGCCCTCCTGTGCCCAGCTGCTGTCAAAATCCATCCCTGGCCAGGTGTGGTGGTGGCTCACGTCTGTAATCCCACTACTTTGTGGGCTGAGGCAGGAGGATTTCTTGAGTCTAGGAGTTTGAGACCAGCCTGAGCAACATAGCAAGACCCCATCTTTACCAAAAAGCAAAACAAAACAAAAAAGAATCTATCCCAGCTCTCAGAGGCTACCTCCTCCTAAGCTTTCCCTTAGCCTTCTAGTGTGATCTTGGGTAAGTTGATTAACCTCAGTTTGTTTCAACTGTCAGTAGGATAATAGAAACTATCTCATAGGATTATTGTGAGAATGCAACATATTATTTAAAAAATCTAAAGTAGTCCTTGGCACAGAGTAAACATTACGGAAAAGTTTGTGCTGGTTATTTTCCCCCCCAGGGTGTATATACATCTGCCCATAGCTCTGGTCCCACTCTACTTGATTTCATCTCTGTCTTACCCACTAGACTAAGAGCTCCTTGAGGGCAGGGCTCATCTCTTCTCTACATTAAGAGTCACTCTTTGCCCCCCAAATACTGTGATCATATCAGGACTTGCCAAGAGGAAGGCTGAAGAGATGCACTTGGATTATCCAGTGAAATTGGTGCTATAGATAGAAGATAGAAGTGCAAGATTTTCTTCTGTCCTTGAGGAACTTACAGACGAGGTGAGGAGCTGAGAGAGATGCAGGGTACAAAGAGAGAAATGTTAGGTGCTAAATCTTGGAGCACCAACTGTATTTACTTCTGGAGCTCATAGAAAGGGGAGCTGGGATGGGCCAGAGATGTGGAGAAGGGCTTCCTGGCAAAGGGGTCCTTCAGGCAGGCCCAAGCCTATAGAGCAGGAAAACCCGGGCCTGTGCGGGGAGTTGTGAGGAAGCAGGCTCACTGGGACAATGAGTGCACAATAAGGCCGGGGGCTGGGGAGGCGGGCAGTTAAGGCTGGTGAGGTGAGGAGGGAAGGGTCAGCTTGCCCAAAGGCTCACCAGAAAGGCAAAGTGCCTTCTCCTTCCACTGTGGGCCACCTTTACCTTCAGCCCAATCTTGGGAGACCCCAGAATTTGAACTTCAGAAACTCTGGAGTCGAAAGGCCTGGCCTCAAGTCCTGGCTCTGCCACTTACTAGCTGTTTGATCTTGGGCATACCATTCATGCTCACTGATCCTCAGTTTGGCCATCTGTAAAATGGGGATAATACCACCTAAGTCACTTGGGTGTTGAGGGGATTGAGATGATGCCTATAAAGCACTTAGCACTGCCTAGCAGATTGTAAGGGCCCAATAAATGGAGATGTTCTTATTGTTTTAGGGTAGACTTTGCCACCAATGTCAGTGCTGAACTCTGGCTGGCCACACCCAGAGGACAGCCCCACCCCTGGGGAGCCACGTCCAGCAGCCAACTCAGACAGTGACTCAGGCCACCTGCCAGGGGAGGACCCTGAGGATACCTCTGCTCAGGTAGTAAGAATCCTGCCCTTCCTCTGAGACCAACATGCCCTCTATCCTTCAGACCTCTTCTTTTCCACCAACCAGGAGGTAGTCTGCCTTTGTGCCTAACCTCTTGTGGCCCTTTTCTTTTTTCAGGAATTCCTGTCTCTATACCTCCTTAGGACATATGGTTTTGACTTTAAACTCATTCACATGAATACACATTACCTCTCCTAGGTGGTCTGTGTTTTCAAAGCAGACTCTAGGGGCTTTGGCTCCCAGGAGTGAATGGGGTGGTTTCAGGCATAAGAAGCGAAGCTGTTTTGGGGTGTGGGGCGTCCCCAGCCTCCCTCAAGGAAGACCCGAGAGGCAGGAGTGAATCAACTGTCCTTGCACTCGGTTAGGATCTGGAAGGAGGACTCTCCAAATGGAGGGGCATGCTTAGACGTCGCTCTAGATTGGAGGAGAGGTGGCCATGAGGAGGGGGGAGAGAAGGGGAAAGGAAGGAAAAACCTAGCTCCGCTCCTCCTCTTCTACCCTGTCTCCTTAGAGTCCTGCAGTTCTCAGCTTGGGTCCCCCTTTTCTGGACACCAACCAAGCCCCCAAGTGGCCTGGACTTCCCACCCTCCTGCAGCAGCTCCCTCCACAGGACAGTGATGTGGGTCTCCCCTCCCCATCTTCGCTTGCGCCTCTCTCTCCCTCTCCTTACTTACTGTGGAAAGAACCTTCGTCCAGAAGTCAGAGGACATGTATTTAAGGCTCAGCTATGCCACTGTTGGGGGAAGTCATTCCCCACCAGCCTGAGTTTTCACATCTACATAATGGGTGCAGTAGCATCTGCTCTGCTCTGCCCAGCACAATGCTTAGCTCTAGAGCAAATGAGAAAATGGACATGAACAACTTTTGAAACAGCTCATGGAATGTACAAATGTAGAGAGTATGGTGGTTAAGTATTTATTGAAGCCCTACATGGGCCCGGCTTAAAGGCTTACAATTCAATTGGGGAGGCAAGACAGGAGTATATGAAATAATACTAAGCTCTAGCTCATTGGGGAAAAGGACCTAAATATATGGTGACAGGGCTAAATGTTGTGGGACTGTCAGGACCTGAGTGATGACCATTCCTGGGGGTGGGGCGAGACTGAGGTGGACTTCCTCACGCTCTTTTCCCCCGCCCTTCTCAATGCCCTTCCATGCTGCTGTCTCTTGCACACCTCCCTGAGGTTCTGCAACCTTTCTGTGGCCCCGCAGCTAAGCCGCCTTTCTCCAACAAACCCCAGTCCGCTGGGGCTCTCCCAGTCACAGTGGAGGCCTGTTTCTGCAGGAGCGCTACTGCCTGGCCCTTGGGGAAGAGGAGCTGGCTGAGCTACGGCTCTTCCGTGCGCGGCGGAAGCAGGAGGCCCTGGGCCAGGGGGTGGCCCGTCTGGTACTTCCCAAGCTTGAAGGACACACCTGTGAGAAAGTACGTAGTGCCTCCCCCGCAAACATTTCCCTTCCTCCATTCTCTGCCCTCTCACTTCTGCAGAAGAGGCTAGCTTCTAGGGCTCTGGTTGGAAAACAGGGTTTAGGGATTGGTAATTTGGCAAACGTTAGGAAAAAGAAACCAAGTTTGGGGGCTCTTGATGGAGGCTGTAGTGGGTGCGCGCTTGTCAGGGTATGGGGAGAACAGGTTGGGGTTGAGGTGGAAGAGCCGCCGGGAGGGAAGCTAAGAGGGTGGCGCCAGCCTAACCAGCCCAGCGCCCCCGCCCGGCAGTGCAGGGAGCGGCTCAAGCCAGGAGAGTACGGAGTGTTTGCAGCCCGGGCAGGGGAGCAGCGCTGCTGGCACCAGCCTTGCTTTGCCTGCCAGGCCTGTGGCCAGGCCCTGATAAACCTCGTATACTTCTACCACGATGGACGTCTCTACTGCGGCCGTCATCACGCCGAGTTGCTGCGGCCGCGCTGCCCCGCCTGTGACCAGGTACAGCTCCAAGAGGAGGGGTACGGGGCGGGGGAGCGGTGTCTGCCCAGGGTCCAGAGTGGCAGGATGTAAGGGAACACCCTCCAGGACCGAAGCATCCCCCAGTATCGCGGAGTTGGGACCGCAAGCAAAGTCCCTCAAATTTTCTTGGACTCAGTATTTCTCTGGAGCAGGGACTCTTGGACAGATGTTCATCTCAGTATGCTAAAGTGCCCGGTGCTGTGCCTGATCATGCTAGAAATTCCCTTAATGTCAGGTAGAGCCCTGGGTTGGGGTTCCAGGCGGCCGGGTGGCACTTTGGGCTGTGCCACCTGCTATCTGGGGGATCCTGGCTAAGCCAACCAGCCCTCCCCTGCGTCCGCGAGTGGCTGAGTAGATCAAATGGGAATGTCTGTAGACGTGCTTTAGCGTTAACGCATATAAGGCGTGGTTATTGGATAAATGAATGAGTGAATGAATGAATGAACCGTTCCCTCCCTCTCTCCCAGCTGATCTTCTCCCGGCGCTGCACAGAGGCGGAGGGACGTCGCTGGCATGAGAACCACTTCTGCTGCCAGGACTGCGCCGGGCCCCTGGGCGGGGGACGTTACGCCCTGCCGGGGGGCAGCCCCTGCTGCCCCAGCTGTTTCGAGAGCCGCTACTCGGGTGCGGGCTGGAGCCCTGCCGGGGCTCTGGAAGGGCGGGCGTCCCTTGGTAAGGGAGAAGGCGCAGATCAAAGCGGAGGGGGCGGTGGCTTTGGCTGGGCTGAGGAGGGAGTTCTCCCGGGTTGAGACCCTCGCCCCAGTCCCACATCGCCCCAGTCCCACACCATCCCGTCCCTCCAGCAGCCCCTGTTCCCCCACCGCACCCCCCCGACCCGAGCCTCGGGGCCCGCAGCTCTCACCGCGCGTCCCTGGCCGGAGCGCTCCAAGGGCCTCCCGAACCCACCCCGCGCCGCGGTCGGGGCTGCAGCGCTGAACTCGCTCCCAGGGGAGGGACGCGTCCGCCCTCTGGTGGGCGGAGGCGGGGAGAGGCGGGGGACCCTGGAGAGGACTCCCGGCGGCGGCGGCGCACAAGGCCCGGGGATGGGGCGGGAGGCTGGGCCCGACCCCCGCTACCTTCAGTGGGTCGCCCCGCCAGGCTCTGGGAGAGGGAAACCTGGGCTCTGAGATGGGCGTTTCTGACCCGCCCGGAACAGAGGAGACCGGACCCGACCGAACTGAAGGAAGGGACCGTGCCTCGCAGAACGCCGTGACCATCTCCCGAACAGCCCTTGTCGCTGCTGCTGGCGGTCCAAGCCTGGAAACCCAGACGGGGCTGCTTGGATCCAGCCCCGAGCAGGAGACCCGAGCTGGGGACAAGGCAGCGGCATCCAAAGGGCGGGAGCAATACCGCCTGGAGACGCCCCGTGATCCCAGGGAGGATGCCCACTGCTCCACCTGCTCTTCTTCCTCCGACTCGGAACCCGAAGACTTTTTCTTAGGCCAGCGCCTTTCCCGGCTCTGGAAGACCCCCGGAACCCTCCAACCAGGGGACGGCGACACCTCCAAGAAGCACTGCACCATTTGCTAGTGGCGCAGCCCAGAGACGGGTGTGAGTGGGGAGGAAGGGATCGGTAAAGCAGAACAAGACTGTCCTAGACTGAATGCGATCAGGGGCACGCCTGGGGGAGGGGGCGAGACGACAGATTTGGAGTGTGCCCCCTTCAGGACAGCGCGATCTATGACTTGATGGAGACTTTGGGGGAACCTCTCATTCCCCAAAGGTACGCTTGCCCTGCTTATCTGCCCCTACGCCCACAGGCTGGGACAGCCTCGTCCCCGCCATCTCCCTCCTGAGCCAATTAAGTGTTCACTGAGCACGCGTGACTGGCTGGCTGGAGAGCCGGAAGTGGGACCGGGAACCCGCTCTACCGGGGCCGCGCTCCTCCCCGCGCAGAGTTCGCGGACGTGTAGCCGGGGCTGTAATTCTAGTCCTGGGCGTCGTACCAAGCTAGGGGAACGGCGCCCTCTGCCGGCCAGTAGCCGGCGGAAGTGCCAGACCGGAAGTTGCGTGATCCGCGGACGCCGATACGGAGTGTCGTGCGAGGCCGGTGTGGAGCCCGAAGGTACTAGTATGGCTTCCAGCGGGGTTGCAGTGAGCACTGCGGGCCCGGCAAGTGAGGCTCCCGAAATTCCGGACAACGTGGGAGACTGGCTTCGGGGCGTCTATCGCTTTGCCACCGATAGGAATGATTTCCGGAGGTAACCGATCCCGGGGAGCTTGGTCCGCTCTGGCCCTCGCGTCCGTATACGCCTGTATTTCCCCTTCCTTGAGAGGCTGGTGCCCTCGGGGTATTTTGGGTTTGTGTTTTAATATTGCCAGTATAGCGGGCTCTTCGTGGCTCTGACTGCCGAGGCCTTCGACCAGGAGCTGGCTTTCTGCTGCGATGCTTATCTATAGACAACATCACCCTGCCCAGGGGACTGGAGAAGAGGCCCCAACACATAAACTAACTTTTCGGCCCCGAACAGGTGTTTAGCTGACCTTTATAGGTGATCCTGCTCTTATTAGGCACAGAAACAAGCCCCAAATTCCCCTGCGGATCGTGGGCAACCTGCCATGCATGTAACCATGTTATCAATACTTCAGGAAGCCTTTCCCCCCAGTACTTTTCTTTAACCTTAGAGTTAATGAAATACATTGTTTTTCCAGGAACTTGATCCTTAATTTGGGACTCTTTGCTGCGGGAGTTTGGCTGGCCAGGAACTTGAGTGACATTGACCTTATGGCACCTCAGCCAGGGGTGTAGCCAGGTAGGTAAGCACTTAACTACAGCAGTGTCCGGAGGCTGGGAGAAGCAATAATTTGTATCAGTTATTCACTAAGTGTAGGAAAGAGAATGCATGTAAAACCCATGGCTATTCCTAGATAAGTGTGTTTCCAGATGTTGCAAGGGATCTAAATATCTCTTACCAGTTTCCCACCAGTGCTTTTACATTCCTAATGCCACCTGTTGTCCTGTCATCTGATTGCAGACAAATGGAATCCTGTGCTGTACCCGAACCTTCCAAAAACAGAGCCTACAATCTGTGACCACCACGAGACACGTCCTGATGGCAGCTGAAATGTGATTCAGATGGGCACTTTCCCGTTCCCGGCTTGGTTTCCTTTTGTTCCCAAGTCCACTCAGAACTCCATTCTCTGGTCAGCAGTCAGGCTTCAGCTAAAGCATTGCCTCTGTTCTGTAAAGTTCTATACATACTTCCTAAGTTTCTGCGGAGGGTGATCTTTGCTCCTATCCTGAGGAATAACAGTGGTGTTTTAACAAATATCTGAAATAAACACTGTACACAAAGATAGCCATTTTATTCTTTTAATAAGAAACTTCTTACAAAAACAAGGTGTAAAAAGTCAAGATTACAAAAATCATAAAAACATGATATATATTTCACACTCGAGAAATAGGAACAAGCTCCAAACATGGATTGTAATAGAGGTGGTTTTTTTTTTTTTTTTTTTTTTTAAATGGAAACTGTAACCACCATACATTGATGTTAACATAGCATGAAGTTTATTCTTGGGGAATTTCCACTGTTGAGTAGTTCTGGGGGAAGAAGCCATTTGGTGTTGCATAGCATTTTAGTGTACCAGGTGGGTTTTCCAGGCACCAGGGAGGCATTGTTGCTGGAAGAGACTGAGGTTTGGTGGCAGAAAGAGGACAGTGATGTATAGGAGGAGACAAGGTATAAATAAGTCTGGGCAGTAGGCACTAAAGTGATACTGCTAAGGAAGCTGCTTCCTTTAAAGGAAATAGATGTTTTCTGACCCTAAAATTCATGGTAGTGCTACTGTTCCGGGGTTTGCGGTTTTGGGGAAATGGAATATGTAAGGAACTGGCAATGGAAAGACTCACGTAGCCATAGAAAGAAGTGGAGATAGAGATAGGTTCCTCATGGCAAATTTCTTCTAGTTGATTTACTCCAATAGGCTTTTTTTTTTTTTTTGAGACAGGGTCTCACTCTATTGCCCAGGGTAGAGTGCAGTGGCATTGTCATAGCTCACTGCAACCTGGGACCAAGTGATCCTCCTGCCTCAGCCTCCCGAGTAGCTGGGACTACAGGTGCGAACCACCACACCCAGCTCATTTTTCTATTTTTTGTAGAGACAGGGTCTCACTATGTTGCTCAGGCTGGTCTGGTACTCCCAGCTTCAAGCAATCCTCCCACCTTGACCTCCCACAATGCTAGGATTACAGGCCTGAGCCACCTTGCCTGGCCAGCATTTTTTTTTTTAAATACTGCTTTCATGTGCCAGGTCTCCTATGGAACTGGTATAGGATTAAAGGACATGAATAGGAAAGGGTCAGTATAAATGGCCTAAATGTTACAGCTGACAGATGTTGTCTCTAGCAATTTGTTTACTAAAGGTAAACAGGACAAAATAGTCTTTCTTGACCCTGCTGGCATAAATCTCATTAAGAAAACTGTTCGGGAATTAGATTTTTTTTATATGTTAAAAAAATCCCTACTATTGTCTTATGAGTATTAGTCTGATAGATCTTATCTGACAGGAGGAGCCAAGACCCTTTAGCCACATCTGTCTACATGGGATCACAGATGCTCTAAGAAGTTTATATTTTACTGAGTATTAAGATGAAGAAGAGTCACATATGAGAGCAAGGCTTAGGTTTGAAGCCATGAAGCCTCAAACGCTGACCAAGGAGGAAACTTTTAAGCCATAGCATAGATGCTAACCCATCAAATCTGCATCAGACTACTTCCAAGGCAAGAAATACCAGCACCTCCTGTTCTTTATAGGACTGAAACTTAGATTCTTAAAATCTGCCACCTGATCTACTCATAATTGTGAAGTTTTCTTTGATAAAAATTTCCAAAGTTGACAATCAAAATCCAGCAAGAATTAAGAAATGTTACCTTCCAAAAGCAAAATCCAAACTTCACTCAAATTTTAATGTTTTGGCTTCAAGTAATAATGTTTACTGTTGGTTGGGTTTTAAAGCCATAATGCTGGTTGGGTACAGTTTCATTTAAACTGGCTTGATTATTCAAAGGGATACAAATTTATAAATAAAACCACCAAATCTACAATTTCCAAAATTTTGATAAATCATTAATTCTGTAAATGAGAGTGCCAGCTTTCCCCATTGCCAATGCAACATTCTTCCTAAGGGCTGTCACTTTTCAGCCCTAGGTAGTTAACATTTAGTATGAAAATCTCTAGCTAGTTAGATTTTAAATGAAATATGCCAGCAGAAGTATGGAAAGAGTCCACAAAAATGACCGCTTGCTTCAGTGCTATAGTAGCTATGGTGTATTGAGAGCGGTGTGTGGGCTGAACATGAATACAGTGGTTAAAGTCATAGCCCTAGATCAAGAGAATGCTACTAAATTTGTAAGATATAAACTAAATTCACAGTCATATTTAGAAGGCGCTTTTCAGCTTTAGTGCTGTCTTTTAAAAGAATCCGAACCAACAGAGAGATGCATACTTACCTGGTTAAAAAACTAAGTGGCCATGGCAAGTTTTACCCAAAGGTACCACCTCTTCACCTAATTTGGTGAGTAACTAGGCTGAGGGACCCAGTTATCAAGTGTGCTTTGAGTGATGAGCTTTTTAAACACCCTTTGGGGAAGTCTCACTAGCTCAGTGGAAACCTTAGGTTGGAGTAAAATAGGCAGGCTGTAAACAGTTAGCACCTTCCATAGCCACTGGGCACCATGCTAGTCAGCACCTGCCAGGGAAAGAGTGTGGAGGCCTGGGGCAGGGTCTTTGTGCCTTCTCTTTTGCATCACTACCTTTATATGTTACACAGTGAACTGGCTTGCCTTACAGTCTAAAGGTTCACTGCTTCCCAACACTTTCGTGCAAAAGAACTTCAGAACCAACGAAGGTACCACTTCAGGAGGAACCATTTTTGTTTGGCTTCTACCATGTTGCCCAGCATTAGTTATTGTTTTGATAAAGACTAAAAAGCCTTTTCTGAACATTTGTGCTCTCCCAACCAGCTGGAAAAGCAACCCTTCCATTCATAAAATATAATCCCAGATAGGGATATAGTATACATTTAAGAAGGGGTAGCCCCCCAGCCGGATTTGAAAAGGCCCGAGTTAATGTTTGGAACATGAAAAGGGTGGTAAAAAGCAATGGGGTACACAGTCTGCCTTGAAAAGCAGCCATCTGATGAACAATCACAAATACAAAGAATCTGGACATTACAATAAAATTTTAGAACTTGCTGGTAAGAATAACTTGCATTCACACACGAGATATGAAATGCTGTCTAAAAGTCTGTGATACCAAATGTCCTTTAAACACTACACAGACCCATTTGCCCCTTGAAATGACAAGAAGGAATCTTCTCCCTTAATGTTTTTGATCCCATGCAAACAGTAATTGGGTACAAGGCACCAAATTTTATGAATTGTATAAAATTAGTTCACAAAGCTTTATCAGTAAGTAAAACAAACTCCATTTCTCCCTCCCTGTCCACCCACCTCCAACCCCCCGTAACTACTATTCTACTCTCTGCTTCTATGAGTTCAACTTTTTTACATTCCACATATAAATGAGATCATGGAGTATGT